ACCAGGCATAGGATGCAAACGATGGCGATTATCACATCAGTTTTGGTAAACATGATGCAGTCGTAGTTAGAGCGCAGCTAAAGCTAAGTAAACAACAACAGTCAACAGTCAACAACGTGCTCATTACTTATCCACCACTGTCTGCGTTCCGGTTGAAATTTAAATGAGCACAATCAAAGACTAAACTACTAAGTACCAAGTGGAATCCGTTTATGCTAACCTGAATCGACTCCTGACATATCTATCCATTTAGTGATATCTTTTTACCACTGTACCTTAGAAACAAATTAAGCGTGACAAGAAGAGTTTATAATTGATATACACCATTATCCCGCCACGTCCATCACTACAGGCAAACGGCACAGTAGCCAAAGCGGCCAGAACTTCCTGCAAGACCAGATGAAGAGATCAGGCCAAGGTGGTTCCCACTAAGAATGAACATGGATTGACCAAATAATCGAGGAATTATTCCGTCAGAATTTCAAAGGTAGAAAATATTCCAAACATTAATGCTCAAATTTAATGACCTAGTCAACAATCAGGTCAGTCAAACGGTAGAATAGCCCTACCTTCGAGTGTTTTTGCTAACCTGACCAATATTTTGAAGGAAAAAAAGAGAATGCCATTCCACAAAAATTGGCCTGTACCTTGCTTCTATTAAATAAACGTCCTGTACGGCATGGAGACAGTTCTTTGTCTAACAAAAAACGACGACTGCTTACACAGCCTTACCTTCGTCCCATGCTGAAGGTCAAATGGCAGGACTATGTAGGCTTACTCTGCTCTGTTCCAAACCCAAACGACGTCAGTAGATATGGAGATTAAGAAAATGAGGTCGGTCTTTTTCCATCCGCAAACATCTCAATTGGGAGCAAAAACACAGGAGATATAGATCAGGAAACCAGCATGCAACACGGAGGAACAGCGAAAAAGCAGACGTCTTTCGTAGCGAAATGTTTGCTGCTACAACGCAGTAACCGGTACCTTATAGAAAACTTGTTGAAAAGCAGCAAATACAGCGAATATCACAAACCAGAGACATTCTGTTTCTGCAATCTACTCAAG